AAAATATTATCAACTCAGTGATGATCATTTGAATAAAGATCATCCGGTGATAGAGAAAAACATGGCGTCCGAAATGAATTGTGATTAGAACAGCACAAAGAGGATTAAGAAGATGATTTTGAAAACAAAAGAATAAAAAGAGACAGAGGAGAGAAAGAGAAAGAGAAAGATGATAGTAAAGAGACAGAGAGAAACTAATAGTAAGTGTTTCATCCGAAAACATAATTGATCAAATTATCTCGGTCCAAACAAAACAAAGGAAAATCCATGTTAATTGTAATTGTCAATTGTTGCTGATTTCTTCTTGTGTCTTGTAGTGTTGTTGTTGTTTTCTTGGGGGTTTCATGTTGGTGGTATAATCATAATGGTTCTGGGATGATGGTGATATTAATAATCTTAATGATGTCGATGATGATAATGGTGATGGTATTTTTCCGTTTGTTTTTGTTTAATATTTTTCCTTAATTGATTTGATTGTTTTTAAATTGTTTTCTTTTTTGGCGTCTTCTAATTCATCTTTATTTTCAAAGGACATCCAGATAAATTCCTTGATTATTATTAAATGAGACTCCATTTGATTCATCAATACTTCGGACTGGACTGGCATCGTTTGAATCGGGTGTCCGAGATCCATCAGAATTGGGAAAATTTGTCTTATTTCCTTGAGCTTTACGAGTTCGACTCATTATTGCTTCAACTCTCTGTGGAAAACGAAAACGAAAACAAAAGTGATTAATTAATCATCATTTAGAAATTACAAATGATTAAGATAAGATTCCAGGTAAAGGGATTTAAACATTAATCAATGAAACATGAATTTAAACGACAAAATAATATCATGATTGTAATAACTTAATTACTATGATATTTACATGCTAACAAAATATTAATGATAATCAAGGTGTGTTGGGTAAGTTAATCATATGAAATGAGTATATGTCCTTCAGATTGATTACAATTAACATTCAAACTGTAATAACAATTAAACAATTGTAAAGATAAAGTAACACTACTCTCATCTGTTGATAAGAAAAGGTAAAAGAAAATAGTCTTAAATAGTCACCGTTAGAATAATCAATTAATTATTATCAACAATTAACTTGAGAATGAAGCAGAAAAACTTAAATTGTGTCAATTTAGTAATCCGGCTAATCAAGGTTGCTGATGATGATAATCAAAAGTCACTTCAGATCAAAACACCCACCGAAATAAACTTGTCAACAGAATAACAAGAAAACTAAGCAACCTGATTGTGCCATCATTTTCATCTTAATCATTTGCACACTCACACATTGTAAAAAATATGATGATGATTATCATCATGATTATGATTATTATATTATTCGTGATTTCAATTAACACTAAACAAGGTAAGAAAGATTATTATTATTGTGGTAACCCACTGAGTCTTTATTGACAACCATACAAAACAAGTAGATCAGACGTGTAAATGTAATACCTTTAATTCAGATCATGATTTTTAAATATATATGATGAACATCATGACGATGATGAAGATGATGATTATGATCAACTTGATTATTAACCAATTCTTCATCATCATTACTCAACATACACACTGTAAACTTTAAATTACTGTTAATAAATTTGATTATTCAATTGTTGGATGTTAGCCCAAAGTTATTTCAACCCGTAATCAACCCGGAAAAGGATCAACTTATCAACCTAAAGCTATTGATTCAATGAGAAGAGACAAGAAATTTTATCTTTTCTTATACTTTTCTAGTTAATTTTACTTGATTGAACAGTTAATTCTGTTACAATTAACATAATCAACTTGACAAATTGTAAAACATAAACACAGTAGTAACAACGTGTTATCATTACGTTGATTAGCAACCCAATTCAAATGATTATTATCAAATTGGTTTCAAGTATTAAAATCAAATATACACACACAAATTGATGGTCATCATCATCATCATCAGAAAATGAAAACAATCAACAATTTAAAATGTTTCTTTAATAATATGACAGCTTAAACCATGATTTATTTAATTTCTTTCTCAATCAATGGCAAAAAAATAGAGAGAAAGAAAGAGAGACTGATAATAAATTGTTGCTGTTAAAGAGAATCAAATAAATCATAACAATTATTATTATCATCGTCGTAATCAACAAAACAAAGATTTGAATAATATATAAAGGTAACAATTATGATGAAAGACAATCAATGAAATTGATCTTCAATGAGGCATCAAAGGCAACAAGTAATAGTAGTTGAAAAAAAAACTACTACATGATTGCATGATAATCAAAGTAGTAATTTACCTTGATTGTACTAATAGTTGATAGTTAACTTGATTTACATTTGCTTTTGGTTATTTACATTCAATAATTTTCAATAACTACTAAAATGTTCATCTCACTCAATAAGAAAACTCAGTCGATAAGAAGATAAAACGATGATGGTTTAAGTTGATAATATACTTAATTCTCAAGATAAATTGAAGAAACAATTTACTGATTCAGTTTTCAATTGAGAACGTGCGATGATAAAAAGAAACGTTTTAAATATATGATTAAATGGAAAACAGAAAATTACGCTTAATTAAGCAAAATTTTCTACACAACAAAAATGAGCTTGATTGTAAAAATCTTCTCTCAACTGTAACTGTGTTGGTTTGATTCATCCTCATCCTTTTATCATCCCTCTCATCCTTTAAAGCTCATAATCTTAAGCCAGAATTTTTATTCCAAAATAATTCTGGTCAGTATTTATATTATATATTTACTCTTGTGTGGTGGTGGTGGTGGTATAATAATCATGATAATATATAAGATATAAGGCAGAGGGAAAAGATCATGATTCAGGAGCTCATCATTAATGCTATAATATATTCAATTTAGGAATAAAATGAGAGAATAGGAATTAAGATGATAATAATAATGATGAAGATGATGATGATGGTTAATGAGGTAAGTAAACTCTTTTCTGTATCATCTTCATTTCGCCATCTTCAATCATGAAAATCGTATTAAAAAGTAATATTATCTCTCTGAGTAGTAGTAATAAAAAAAATGAATAACATTCAGAAGGAAACATATTCAAGTAATTCAGGTAAAATTAAAAAGTTAGTAAACCATTTACATGGTGTTAATAGGGTAATGATGATTATAATGGCGATTATGAGATGAGATAACAAATAACAAGAAAAACAATCAACCAATATGAAAGGTGTAACAATTAATAATAGCAATCAATAGGATGAGAGAGAGAGAGAGAGATGAAATAATAGAATTGATTGCAATGTATCGTAATCATATAATTGAAATTGAATGAAAATGATCATAAAAAATTAACTGATGATGAAGATTAAAAAGATGATAATGATAATGATAATGATGATGATGATGATGATGAGAGAAAAAGAGAATCTTTTCTCAAGGAGATGATGAGGATGCTGATCGCTAAGGGCATAAGAAAATAACGGGACAAGAAACAAAACAATTCGTATTTGGATTTGACCAAAAATAATAACAATCATTTAAATTGTTGATATTACAAGTTAATGATTATCTTGAAAATACATCGTAACAATTGAAATGATTACAATCATCATCATCATCATAATCAAGCAATTTGTTGTTTATAAATCCTAAATGAACAAGTTAGTAAAAAAACAATTTATATGTGTTAATTGTAGTTAATTAAATTAATATAATATTTGGGTAAACAACTAATCAACAACTAATCATGTAAATGGGTCAACATTAAGAAAATGACCAACAACAATTATAATAATAAACCTTTAAGTTAAATGTAATAAATTGTTTACAATAATTCATTTAGATCAACATTCTGATATTGAAATGTTAATAATGCAAATTGTAAGTTTTAATTGTTATTCAAACAATTTAAGATGAAATCATATTCAATTTTCTGTAGCATAAGAATCAAATTGATAATCTCGTAAGGTCTTGGATTTAGTTAACACAAATAAATGACTTTATATAAATTATGTTATCTTAATCATCTAATTAAGATGAACATAATCAAATATAATCATAAATAGACAATTTCATGATATAAAATAGTGAATATCTAAATATAAATATAAAATAAGGTGATTTATATCAAGGTAAATTCATGGAAGATTATGTTCATCATTATCACAATCAAAAAGTCATCATCATGTTTAGTGGTTGAAAATTAAATGTATGGTAAATCAACGTAATCAAGTAATCATTAAGTATGATTACAATTGTTCAACTGTTACAATCAAAAATAATATAATAATAACTTGTTAAAGGTTAACCTTAGGTTGGAGATTTTAAATTTTTCAAGTCTAGTTCGTTGATCATTACAATCAACTAATAGTGTTATTTGATTGTTGAGCTTTTTTCTGATGAAAAAAAAAAGGTTACAAACCAAATCTGATTATGATTAGTTAGGAATTGAATTGAAGGTCCGATTATAAATCATAACCATCATAAATGGTAATACATGTAAAAGTTTATAATTAAAGGCGAGATTGTGAATTAAGATATTTAATCAAATTAGAGTTTAAATTGTTGTAACACCCGAGATAAATAAATCAACAGCTATACAACAAGTGTAATAATAATAAATGATGAATGAAAAAAAAAAACAAAAACAAAATGGTTAATCAGGTTAATCCATTTGAATAATGAGAGCTTGTAAAAATTGGAAAGTATAACAATTAAAATACAAAAGTAAAAACAAAAATTAACGTTAAATTAATTGTAATTTATCAAGTTTGTTGTTGGCTAATTGTTAACTTTGAATAAATTACGATTTTACTCTTGTTGATCAATTTAAATCGTAATCTAAACAAAAGGGGCTCAACTAAGTGATTTAAAAATAAAAATTAAATTAATTATAATAATAGAAGAAGATGAAGAAAAAAATAATAAGAATCAGCAACAATTAAGAAAAAAGAAATAGAGATTAAGATTGGATAAGAGATAAAGATAATACGAATTAGGAAACAATCTTTTGAATAATATATTAATCTAACTAATATTTATGATTAAAGGTGATACTTGATCTAATTGTGAAAACTTTTAAGGTGTTACCCCAATTGAATTAAATACTCTGAAATGAAATAGGTTAAAGGTAACCATTAATAATAACAAAGACAATCATTCTGATTATTATGACCTAATCAGGTATTGATTAGATTATTTTATATCAATAATGACCTGATTTAGATCTTGATTAAAAGGTAGAGAGAGATAGAGAGAGACTGGAACTTAGGATAGATTTTGTATTAAGAGAATGAGAGTATAAAGTGAAGTAAAAAGATAAACAAAATCGTATTAAAAGTTATCAGTTGATTGTTGTTGATGTGCTTTGGTGATTAGAGGAATTGGTTTTGAGAGTGAGAGAAAAAAGATTCTGCTAATTGTAACAATTAACTGTTGCTTGATTAGATACATTGAATGTTTCAAGGTGAAAGGGTAATGATGATATAAATCATGTAATCAATTTAACATTGATAAACACATAAATTTCATCTCGTTATGTCAATGATGAAACAATTTGCAAGTATAAACATTGATTGGATGTAAATTGTTGATCAACAGTTTTATTATTGTTAAAGAGGGACTGTTAATATGAAAGCAAAAATATCCATCTAATCATTATAATAATAATGAGGATGAGGATGAAGATGAAGATGAAGAAAGTTTTAAATGATTACAACAATAGGTATTAGATTTAAAAGGGAATCAATCAAAAAAAAAGATGAGAGGATGATGAAGATGATAATCAAGATGAAGGTTGATTGAGAATGGAAATTGAGATCAAATTTGTATTAAGTCATCTTGTTTTTCATCATCGTCATCACCATTATTATCATCATTCTACTTTTGATTTTTTTTTACCAATCGCTTTCTCCCTAACGTCAGGTAAATGTCAAAATGATATCAACAAACACATTCACAGGTAAATGTATATACAGATTAAGTAAACCAGTTAATTGAAAGAGGTTAGGAAATGAAACAAAAAACTGATATTAAGAGAATTGAATCAAATGATGATGAAAATGCCTCCGAAATTAAATGATTCAACATCCATCATCAACTCATGGAGGCTTAATCAGTTTGAATCGCAGGAATCAAGGTGGGTGAGAGAGGGAAAAGATTCATTAGATTATATTATTATTATTATTATTAGTTACTTTGAATTAAAATATGTTGACCAGTTAAATTATAATAATAATAAAAAAATCATCATCATGAATGATGAAGAGATGATGATATCAATAGTATTAGAAATCAAATCAATCATGTAGAAGAAAAAAATCTATTCTATTTAAGTTAATCGTCTCTCTACCTCTTTTATAATATTTTTGCTTCTTTTAAAAATAGATGATAATCTCAACTTGTTATCATGAATTTCATCTGAATAGAGAAAAATTCATTGAGAAGAGAGCAAGAGAATAAGAAATTGGAAAGAAAAATATATAAACAAATACAGATCATCATCATCATCATCGGACTAAATCAATGGTTAACTAGATTGATTGCTAACAGAATTGTTAACATAATTATCATTTAGTATATTAATAGGTCGATATTGATATTGAATTAGTTGAGTTAATTTTTTTTGCTCATTCATGAAAAGAGTCTTTTGTTTTTAACAATCAACCCATTAAATGTACCTAAATATCATTTCCAAGAGGAAAATGATAAAACATAATGACGATATTTATGTGTAATAGAAACTCAAATGGGAAACTGAACTGTGATGAAAAAAAAACTATCAGAATGAGAAACGGAAAAAATTAGATGATAACAAGAACTGAAAAATATCACCAACCATGATTATCATGAAAACATATCTTATAACCTCATCATCAATGTTGTTCATCGGTAAATCAATGGCAATATTTTTTTTCTGATGATAACCGGTAACAACAAAACCAGGTAATCATAAACTAACCAAACTACCAAAAAAATAAATTGATGATGACGGTGAAGATGCGGATGATGATAGTGATGGTGTATGATGTTGATCATCATCATCGTGTTATTAAAGAGGGGAAAACATGAAAGAAGACGGAAGAAAAGTGGAATCAAGAATGAGGGAGAGATGGAGATAGAGAGAGAGAGAGGTGGGTTAAGGATAACAGTTGATTAGTTGAGGTTGATTTTGTTTTTAAATTGAAGATGAAGAAAAAAATTGATGATCGGTACCTTTTTACGCTGAATCCTTTCCTCTTCATCTTTTCTTAACCTTTCCTCCAGTTCAAGTCTTGCTTTTTCAGCTTCCTCTTTAGCTTTAATTTCTTGTTCTTCTCTTTCTTGTTTCAGCCGTAATTCCTCTTCACGGCGTTTTCGTTCTTCTTCCTCTCTTCGTCTTTGCTCTTCCATGGCTTGGCGTAATTTCTCTTCTTGCATTTTCCTGTGTTCTTCTGCAAGGCGAATTTGCTCCTCTTCTTCGGCTCTCATTCTTTCTTCTTCGGCTGCAAGTAATTCGGCTTCCAATTGAGCAGCTTCTTCTAAACGTTTCCTTTCCGCTTCGGCTTCTCGTTCAGCTTGTTCTCTAGCCAAACGTCGTTTCTCGGCCAAAATCTTTTTATATTCTTCTTCGCTTATTTCTTTCTTATTGCTGATAGAGCAACTACTTCCCATTGAGCTTCCTTGATTCATTGATGTTTCACTTTCTGTAGTCACTTCAGATTCCTCTTCAGATGATTTTACATTGTTACTGGTTGAGTTTAGGTTGATTATGGTAACTTTATTTGTTGGTATCTTTTCCTTGTTTACAGAGTTATCCTTTACTATTGTTGTGGTGTTGGGACAACTTTTATCACTTAATTCATTCATTTCATTGGCATTAGGTGATTCTTTTTCAAATGATAAATTAGCACCTTGTTGTTGTTGTTGTTGTTGCGAGGGTGTCTTATTTGCATTACGACGAGCGGCAGCAGCAGCTTTAACATGTGCTGGTTTACGCGGAGGTGCTGGTTTAACTAGATTATCGTTATTATTATTTAATTTATTATCCATTCCTTCAAGTGGAGCACGATGTTTAGATCCTACACTTCGTGCACGATTTGGCCTCTGCTGATGAACACTTGATGATAAAGAAGCTGTTGATGATGATAATCCTGGTGGTGTAGTTGCTGAGGTGGTTGATGTCACTATCAGAGAGCTGGTCATTTCTCTATTAATTAAAGGTGTTCTATAATTAACCTGTCCACTACCTTCGTATGTAGTTGACCTACGATTATCTGGAACACAACCAGCTATACTGAATGGCCTTGGTTTACGACTAGTCTTCGGTCTCCTAACAACTAGAGAGGAATTAGCCGATTGTTCTGAAAGGCCAGACATCGATGATGTTGGCCGAGTCGGTGATAAAGGACCAAGTCGAGAAGATGCTAAAGAGATATTGAGTCATCATCATTCAAAGATGAGAGAACAAGAAGAAAAAATAGAAAAAAAACATGACAAACAATTAGTCATTAGCGATGAAATAAAGTGATTAGTTAAGAGAAAAGCAAGAGCGTAGTATAAGATGGGAAGGAAAGATTCTAGGGTCAAGTGCAATAACTTTTCTTATCTTTTCCCCTCTAATAAGCTTGAATCGATTGTTTTTCATGTTAATCATGCTTGTTAGTTAAGAAAATTAATTTTATATGCGTTGGTTCAACTTGAAAAGAGAGAGAGAGAGAGAAAAAAAAGGTTGAAAGGAGAGGTTTGGAAAGGAAGTTTGCTTGAGGCAAGCAAAGAGAAACATTAAAGTGATCGGCAAAATGGAGCAACAAATAATTTGGAGTTTAAAGTGAATTGAAATGAAATTGAGGAAAGATGAAGAGAGAAATAAAAAGAAAGAGATAGAAGGATAAAAATGAGAATAAAATGATTGAAAGTCAATTATGACGAAGATGATGAATATAAAAAGGGGAAATGTAGAAAGAAAGAGATTGAGAGAGAGAGAGATAGACAGACGGAGAGACAAATTGAGAAGAAAATGGAAAATATTCTTACCCAGACTTCTTAATCTAAGAGATTCCTCTAGATATCGTTGTCTTGGCTTAGCCAATTGATCGAGTCGAGTCATACTGACAGCTCTCTTTGGTCCGGTCAGTTTTACCTCATTAGAACCAATATCATTTAATTTACAATTTATTGAGTCTCTTGATCGGCTTGTACTAAAAGAAGAAAAATAATCACCACGTAAACCATCACGCTGATCTCTGGGTGGAACTGGAGTTAATTCGGGATGTTTTTTCCGTCGAGGTGATATAACATACATGCTTTGACTCATGAGATTTTCTCGTTGATTTGGTTTCACGTTAACAAATAAAAACATTGAATTAGAGCTCATCATTTTGAAGCTGAATCAAGAGAGAGAAAAAAGGAGAAGAGGAAAAAAAGAGAAAAACAGACAGAGAAGAGGGAGACACACTTTTGGATAGAAATGGATGATGATGTTTATGGAATATCCAATTTTCTCTTCACTGTTTTTATAATTCCTCTGTTCTTTCGGGGGGTTTCCTGGGGCTTTTTTATTCTTCTAAAACACTTCTTTATACACTGATAGCAGAAGAGAAAAACAAACCATCAACTAAATTAGAAAGAAATCAACCTTTGAGATCCAAACAACATCTTAAGCTCAAAGCAGCTCAAGAACAACTCGTCATCTGTCTTCATCAATTCAGAAAAGAATCTTACTCATCCGATCTATCGACTAAAATCGAAAAGAATATTCGATTGTGTTCGATTCTATTCCAAGTCCAAGTAGTTGATTCGATTTTTTTGTAGAAAGAAAAGAAAGTGAAAAGAAAGAGATTAATGGAATTATTTTGATCCTCTTACTTTGTTTTTCGATTAAAATTATTTTTCTTATTTTGTTTATTTTTTAATCTAAAAAGATAAAAATCTAAATGATTAAAGTTAATTGTTTGGAATAGAATTTGTTTGTTTTCTATTCTTTCTTCAGGTGCTTATGATTTCATCTATGTGATTATGGAACTTGGAATTTGTTAATTGTCGAATTATTTGGTTGTCTTTGTTTCTTTTTCTTCTTTCTCTCTCTCTGGTCTTGAAGAATGAAGATTTCTATGTGTGTGGATCTTTTCATAGAATCGAATTATTTTGGCGATGAAAATGTTCTTTTCTCATTGTGAATTTCATGGAATCGATCACAGTTTAAGGACATAAACAAGGTGGAGTCTTGTTCTGATTTTGTTTACATTATTCACCAGACCAGATTTGGTTCTGCTTCGATGTCTCTTCCTTGTCACCCTCAGGTAAGGTTGTTTCTTGATCATCTTTTTTTAGGCCTAACATTTAACCTTGAACAATTATTTTCTCTCTCCTTCTCTATATTTATAGCCATTGGTCTAAATGTTATTCAATGTTAATCAATTTTTCTTCCACTAATTAGGAAGTTGCAATTGACTCTGAGTAACCAACACCCTTAATCATTGAATAACATTTCAAGTATTACTCATTTTCTATTTGTGACATAATCTTGTTAATCTATTGACGATCATGGGTTAGGTATTTTTATTTCAGTTTCTTTTTCGCATTGATAAGTATTTTCTTTTTTTAACTTTATTCTTTTTGTAGAATATTTGTTTAAATTTCTACTGAAAAATTGTTCTTCTTTTGTTTCTGAAAGGATCGCAATTCTTTCACTTCTATTGTGTACCTTGTTCTTGACTTTGTCAGTAATAATCTTCTCATGAGATGATCAAGTGATCAGAAATTACCGTCAAGTAATTAGTAAACAGTCACAACAATCTATTAGTATGTTTACTTTTCCATTCTAATCAATGAAAAAGTGCAACAATTAACAAAACTTAGTAAGCTTTTCTTTTGAGTATTTTATCATCAAAAATTTCATTCTTAAAATATACAATTTGTCTTGGTCAATTTGTTTAATTACTGATTTTATTTCCTTTTTAAATTCTATTAGAGATTTTTCGCAATTTTTGATCTGCGATGATTTGGATCAGCAGATTCGATGGTCAATTTGGTTGAGATGTCCGTTCTTGGAGATTAACGGGAGCTACTTGATCGATTGTCGATGGGTTAAGTGGCCTTGCTAATGGATAATCAATTGAAGAGTAATCAATCCACTTGCCATTTCTCGTGTTAGCTTACGATAAATCTCAAAATAACTAGGGCACGATTTAGATAATTGACTTGAAACAATTTCCAAATGAATTTGGTGAATGGAGAGTATAAATTTACGAAAGTAATCATGATAACGAACTGGATCCATTGCATTGCAAATAAATTATCACATCGATGGTGCATTTGGGTTAATTGTCCCAAATGATTACCCCATTTAACTGAATGAAAAGTCATTGCTTCAAGAAAGGACACTGATACCACATCTTGCAATCTCTACAATTAATCATCTTAATCTTCAATTAAACTTCCAATCAATGGCTGTGTTATTAAATAAATCATTTTATGAATATTTAATACCGAAAATTTAACGATAAGTTGAATTTAATCTCATGTATCCATCTTTAAAACAGTCTTCTGGATCTAACAATTGGAGCGGTAATTTAATCTAATCAATTTTTCTATTGATCAAATAATCAAAAATATTCTTATTTGCATTTATCTTGATTAAATTAGGACCATATAATCAAGGAAAATATCAATAACAATTAGATTCTCAATCTAACTACATACTATCCTGTTGATTGATTAAACTGGCCACTTGGACGTTTACCCTGTCTTAATTAGTTGAAAAAGTGATGAAATCGAGCAACTCCCTTACCATTACCAAAGTGATTTAACCTTGAATTTTGGCTTGACCACTTCAGGTGTCCAGTTATTATTATTTGGACAGCAGAAAAATTTTGGTTCACTTTCTGAGTTGAAAGTCATTTGATTGTTGTAAATTGGGATCGGAAATCGGAATATCTGCCAATTTTAATGGTATTTCCTGACCAGTGATCTAAATCAACGATGAAAAATTAAAAAATTCACTACCAAAAGTTTCTATTAACCAAAAATGGCTCCACTTACATCGGTCAGTAATGATAAAAAAGTAACAATTTTATGTTTTTCATGATAATTAGTGAGAGAAACTGATTAATTCATTTAGAATTACTTGTTCGTGTCAACAATCAACGATTAAGAACAGATTGTTTTTCTCTTTGATTGATAATTGTTGTTATCATCACAGATTTTTATTCTAAATAATCGTACAACGTTTTTACAGTTCAACTAATTAATTATAATTTTTTAATTTCCCATTCAAATTAAGTGTTAATTTACATAAAAAGTACATATCTCATTTGTTTCGCATGAAAAATTGATTTAAATTTGATAGTTAATAAATTTTTGAAGTAGAAAAGTTGATTTGTCAAAGATTAGGTTGCTCTCGATAACATTGAGATTTGTTTTAAATATTAATAGATTGTTGTACTTTATAAATCAATTTACCTTTGATTAGTAAAGAGGTTTCTCAAGGCAACTAACAATTAAGAAAAGATTAGAGATTTAAAATTGGATTAAGAGAATCAATATTGAAGTATAAAAGTTTCATCGGATTCTATGATTAAGCTCTTTGTTGGTGACTTTCAGTTAATTTTGTCCAGTTTTGGCTTGAGCATAATCAATATGTTAGACTAAGATGATTTCAGTTTTTCGATAACAATTAACTAGAGTTGAACAATAAATGGAGCAGCAAATCCCGTGTGTACACCAGCAAATAGACCCATAACCAGGAAAAACGCTGTTATCATACCGGCGACTCCAGCGTGTTTATCTTCAACAAATTTGGGTGCATACATCATAGCCCAACTTGACCCTTGACCATGGGTGAAACCAAATAGGACAATACCTACGGCGAAAGCAATATCACCAAACAGAACGGGTAAACTTCGAACTCCGGTTAAATAATTACAACAGAAAAAGAATGGGATAAAAATGGTTCGAGCTACAACATAAATCCAAACTCGATGAGGTGATATATTGGTGCTGGGTAGATATTCAGGGAATAGGTTACCAATCATGGCGGAAACGTTGAAAAATAGGAAATTAAATATTTGGCCAAACCATTTACTCTCACTGGTAAACACTTTATCGTATGGATCAACATTACCCGTAATCGAAGGGAAAACAAACAGGGTTACCCAAAATACAAAAAATATATTGAAACACATAACAGAAATTTTCTCAAATATTTGACGATATGGGATCGATTCATCTTGGATTACTTTCTCATTAGTTAAGGCCAATTGTTCCGGTCCTTCACTTTTCTCCATATAGTAACTATAAAATGCCTGAAAAGATGAAGGAAAAATAAGAAAACCAATTTAATCGTCAATCCTGTTGTTAGTGTTTTCTTTTCTCTCTTCTCTTCCTGTCCAACTAATTGAATCTAAATCAATTCACTTACATTCGATTCATGGAAGAAAAGAACAATAAAACAGGCGATCACAATTAACGTAGCAATTGAGAAGTAAATAATTGCTTCTTGTAATGGATTCGGTGAGATAGCATGTGAAACAATTGCCATGATTGAGACTAGAGAACCACAAACATTACTCCCAATAACAACAGCATTAGAATATTTCATCGGTAATCTACCGGCAATTCCGTAGACACAATTTTGATAGATTCCATTGGCAACGTAAAGAACGACAAATATAATTAATTGTAATGCGAACCAAGTTAATTTCCATGAACTGTTATCAACTAAGGCGAAGGTTATATTTAACAATAAGGTCACAATCATAACAATCATAGAGAAAGTTATTCTTCTGGTTAAACCTTTATAACCACCTCTGGAAATTGAGAAAAATAAGAATTAAGAGATTAGAAATGATTTAGAAAATAAATTAACAATTGAAAATTTTACTTTAGAATCAACAATTTACTCACTTTGCCGGGAAATAAATATTCGCAGCAGTAACAAGTAGATTAGGTGTTTGAGAAGATGTTCCAATGATAGAATAGAAATTTTGTCTTATCCATGTTAACTCTGGAAGATCTGAGGTTGAATTGGTTTCCGATTTTAACTTGTAGTTAATGTAAAACTGTAGAAAAGAATATTTAAAAAGAGAAAAGAAGAACAAAATTAAAAGATAGAAAAGATTAGAGGGAAAAAGAACTGGTAAAATTACTATCACATTACATGAGTGATTTATCTCATAGAATTGATGATGGAACAGATTAAATAATTACATTTCCAGAGTTAATGACCATATTCCAAGGGATAAGGATTCCAATTCCATGAAGAATCAAGGCAAGGAAAATAAAATTACCGACATCTTTGATTCTGGAAGCAATATTACTTTCCATTGTAATTTAAAAATAAAATTCTAGAAGCTTTTTGATATGAATAAAATTTGGAGGTTGATGAGACCAAAAAGAGAAGAGCAGAAGAGAGAGTAACAGACACAAAAGAGAAGAAAATTGTTTACACTGAAAATAGGATAACACTGATTGTTGTAAAGATGGAGATTATAAAGAAAAGAGATGATTACAATAGTTAAGAATATTAATTAACCGGAACAATTAAAACAAATTAAGAAACAATGTATTAAAATTAACTGATTAAAAGAGAACCTCAATAACCAATATGGTTCAACATGGAGAGAAAGACATTTAATGTAAGGGTAATGATGATGTTTGGGTGATGATGTTTGTCTCGGAAGAAAATGATTGTTAGTTAATTATTAACAAATTGTTGATGAAGATAATGATGATTAGGATGACTCTTGAAAAAAATAGAACACTAATTGAACAATTACCGATAATTGAACAATTAATAAATTACTTCTCATCTACAATCTTGTCTTCATGTAATGAGAGGAAAAGGTTGAAGAGAAAAAAAAATTTTCTCTAATGTGAAATTCGTATACAAGTGGCGCCATCTCTTCATTTTCTTTTCTTTTCTTAATTGTTGATTGATTAATTTTAATTCTTTCTTTCCATTTTAATCTGATTGTTTTCCAATTAATTATTGTCTTTCAATTTATTCTTGTTAATTACTCTTTTTCTAATTGATTGAGCTTTTCTTCTTGAAAGATTAATACATGTGATCTCGAAGTAGATATAAACCTAATATCTCATTTACAATCTTTCTAATTAATTTTTCTTATTACTTTGTCTTAATTGTTTTTACTTCACAATTGGAATCATATTTCATGTTTATCTATTTTTTGTTTACAATTAATTGATTGATTTACACCACAGAAAAAGGATTTAATTACCTTGTAGTAATTAAAGAAGAGGGAGAGAGAAAATTAAATCAATGTTTACAATTTATGTTGATTGACATTTCTTTGTGTTTTTATGATAACTGGATTCTCGTTTATTGTTATCAAATTGAACAATTAAAGGTTAGTCATTATTCAAGTTTAATATGTGTAATTAACTTTAATCTACCGTTAATTGATTATCTCTGTAAATGTACATTTATTTATATTATGTTACAATTAGAAAACAAAAAGTGATCATTTTATTATTTCATCCAAAAGGATTATATCATTTACCATGTGATTGCTACTGAATTTGGTTAATTGTTGTTATATTTATTTCCATAATTAAGGCGAATATGATTTAATTGTGTTACATGAGATGGTTGATCATCTTTTATCGATTGATTTGGTTCGTAATGCGAATTCTAATCTCCTCATGGCTCGTTGAACTTTGAAATTTCCACGACGAATCGCTCCTGATTCTGAGACGTTATTTGATTGGTCTATTGTTTTACTCCTTAACAATTCAAATCGAGATGAAGTTTTACCGGAAGAATCAGATTTCGAATGATTTGAGAGGCTATTAATCGAATCGTTGAGTGATCCTTGTTTCGTTGATGAAGATGATGCGGTTATCATGTTTGACGATTGAATAGATTTACCTACAATTGGTTTCGGTGTAATTACTTTGGGTAGTTCGTGATTAAATAGACACACGGATATGGTTCGAGCGTTAAGGCCACAAATGGCTAGAATATTATCTAGCGGATGAAATTCAACACAAGATATTGGTCCTTTGAAAGGTAATTCGTTGTAAGTAAATAGTTTTTCACCTTTTGAAAGTTCAACGGAGATTCAGAATTGGAAAGAAACAAAATTAAATCAAAATTGATGAAAATGAATTGATCGAAAATCTTTTAAACTGTTAACGTTAAATCATCAACGGTTCTCAACAAGAATCAGTTTAATTTAGATGATTAATTGTGAATTATTCTCGTTATAATTTGATTGTCTGATTCTCATTGATTACTAATTGATTTGATTAACGATAATTACCTGTATCTGCATTCCAACAATGGACTAAACTGTCCTCACCGCCCGCGAATACAAATCGACCGCAAGGACTAAGGCAACCACGAATTAAATGGTGAAAATTTAGAGCCTGTGAATCGTTGAACAATTAACTCTACAATTAAAGGTAGAAAGACAATTAAAAGATTAAGATGATTAATTACCCTATAGGAAGATTAAAATTCAATCATTGAGTAATTAACTTAATCCGTCAACACGAACAGTTTGTTATAAGGATAAACTCCTTTTTCCTAATAAATTAAGTTAATCAAATTAAATTTTAATGTTAATTTTTAATCAACTAAATTTTTGACAGTTTCCAATTAAATCAAAGTAGAGATAGAAAATTTAATCTAATTGTGAATATTATCTTCTCATCACTTAATTGTAAACCTTATTTACGATCTGACTTTTTCAATCAATTTATGATACTTTCAATATAAATATTTTCATCTTTTCATGATCTTGTTTAATTTAATCTCATCAGTGATTGAATATGAAAAATTTAACCTAATTATGAAAGAGATACTTGATTAACTTATTCTAATAACAATTAGATGATCATCAATCGTACTTATTAGATGATAATTGAATCAATCACCTTAGGCCTTGCTATCTTTTAATTATCAATGAAAACAATCCCAATGGATTTAAATAAGTAATCAATAATTTAACCTTCATCATGATATCTTGAAAGTTTGGTTTCTTCAATCTGAAACACTGTAAATAAGAAAAATTTTGAAATGATTCATCGAATTGAGTGGAAAAATTAGTCACCAATTGATTATATCGTTAGACCTGGAGCACCGATACAACGATTTAAGACAATCAACGAGATAGTAGATGAGTTTGATACAGTGGACCAATATTATTATAATATATTGGACCAAAGAAAAGGGGTGATGAAAGCCCGAGGTTTAGTCAGTTATTGATGCTACGACTAAAGTCAGGTTAAATTTGTCGAAAATTTTCAATTGATTAAGAGAAAACAATTAAATTCAAAGTCATATGTCAATATTGATTAGATGCACGGAAATAATATCAATTTAATAAATTCAATAATCAAGATTAGTTGCAAACAATCAAGATAATTTTGAATCAATCGATTAATGGTTTCATGGATTTGGGGTCAAAGCATAACTCTCGTGTCGCAATACAATCGTATCTTTCATCAACTTCAACATCAAGTACATTTCGTTTTAGTACAGAGGTCAAATGAATGTCTTTGGTCATTGCGGATTTTTAAATTGGGTTCAACCTTACAGCGTATACCCCAGCTATCTGATTATAACTGTTACTCTAACAGGTATCTTAATTTCCAATAACTGATCTGATAGATTCGATACAGTCTGAACATGAAGTAAGACATCGCTCTTCGAGAGTACCGGTTAACTTATGATAGCGAGGTCTTGATACTATCACCCGATGTCCTGGTTTAATGGTGCACAACTTTGCCCCTCTTCAATAAGCGATTCCTCGGAATTTAAACCAGATTTAATGGCCAATTGACGAATACGTCTCTTTAAACTTTGAAACTTGCATCCAATTTATCGGCCTTCGTATTGAGTTGTAGAACTTTTAATGAATTTAAGTAAAGGTACAATTAGCACTCCAACACCACAATCAAAGGTTCGCTAATTATTTCAGGACCAACTAAATAGCCATCGTTATCTAAGAAAATAAAATAACATCAGTATCAGTTTGAGCAGTTTTAAAATTGTTACCATAAATGTAGGTGTATTTGCAGGTAGTCGATCCATCTGAACTTATGGAGGTCCAAGTGTCTTCTAGAACTTTAGTTGATATTAGTAAACATAAAAATATAATGAAACTAAAATTCATTTTCTTCAATAAAAATTACTTCAGTAATTGACCAAAAAATAGATTTAAGTTATCAATTAACTGAACCAACTGATTAAAACTTACCAGCTGATACAAAGTAACCAAAGTTCATCGTTGCAAGCAAAACAATCACTGCGAGGATAAAGGTTGGATTGAAAACTTTTGCCATGGTCAAAATTGAGACTTTATTTAAAAACGGAGAAAAATTTTTACCAACTTTAATTAACAAAGTAAATCAGTTATTTAAATTGATTACTGATGACAATCAAAACTAATGGTTTAATCAGAACTGATTTGAGCTTAAATAGCTTCCTCGAAACTTGCTTGACTTGAAGTGTCTCAATCAATGGACATACGAATGGATATTATAATAATAATAGTGGTGATGTCGATATCTTAGCTAATTAACTAATTATACATTCATTTATTTAAAAAGTTTCTAATTTTCTGTAATAAATTTTACTTGTCTTTTCAGCTAATTACCATCTCGAAACTGAATTATTAATCAGAAACGCTAACGTTTATTAGTAAACAAGTTAAATTGTCCAAGATCAAAACTATTAACATTGTTAGTTTGTAAATTTTCGTTGACAATAATTAATTAATTTGTTTCTTGTCCCAAGAGATTGTAATTGATTATTATGCTAATTAAGTTACTCTGTTAATCTCATTATACAGTGCAGATCATGAGTTTAGAAATCGATTGATTTTTTAATTATACACCACAAAATTAACCATTAAGGGAATAAACCTTGGTGAAATTCCCGAAAGCATAATGCATCATATGATATTAGTAAATATGCAGATAGAATAGCAGATATTGAACAAGGGTCGATCAGAGTATTGTAAATACTAATAGTATAATCTGATGATCTTCAAGCCTCGATAAGATCTTCTTCCATTAGCTGATCAATTTGACCTTGTCTGCGACTCTGCTGATCTCTTCGGTACTAACAATCAACGGTACGTTGATATATAATAATCTAGGTATCTATGATAATCAGGTATGAATTTAGTAAATGGCTCATCTAATTGTTGACAAACAATTGGATTTTCATGAGAATGGTTGAACCGATAAACAAAATTAGACTCGATTATCTGAGTCTTGATGAAATCCATCGTTGATAGAAGACAATCAACCATTGTCTTTGGGCTCCAGCCCTTTCGATGCGACGGCATTTTATCTGTGTATTCCCATTGTACTTTTGTGAGGTTAACCTTGAAATCTTCATCTCGTTGACCTACAACAATGAAGTTAGTATAAGAGAGTATGGATAAAGCCCAAAGCCCAACAAGTCTTGAGTTCCAGGCGTGGCAGTGCCGACGTCAACTTGACTTTTGTTTTTAGTGAAAACATAGCGAGAGTTGTATAATTTATGAAATAAATGCCGAAAAAGCCAAATGACATGAAAAGAATCACGAAGTCCACCATAGTAGGTTGAAAATATCTTACCATTGAAACGTCGATAGGACGAAGCATTTTGAGTGTCCGTTTGACGAGCAATTGAATTTTTTCTCATCGTCGTGTCCACTTCATGAAGAACAATTTTGTCACCAATCTTGACACCAATAATGTCCCAATCGTTCCACTTATCATAAGGTGAACTCATAATTGTGGTTAAAGAACGAATATCGGTGATAAAATCTGGCTCCAAATTAGAAAGAGTCTCGTCCAAAATAAAATCGATTCTGTTGTCCATATACCAACGAAGAATATGAAGATCGCTTGGACATCGAGACCAAACAGTTTTAGGGTCGAAATTTTGCAACAAGTTCAACTCATTTGGGCCTCTTGTTAAAAGGCTCAAGTATCGTAATTGTGATTTATCAGGTAGGTAAATCTCCTTGTTCAATTTTCTATCGATTCTCAGAGAAAAATAACCAATTCTTTGAGGTTTCATCAAACAAGTAGATCGCGAGTAAGTTTTATCAAGGTCAATATTCAACCGTCCGATTATTGGCACATCAGCGTATGGGTTTAATGTCGGAGTTGGTCTAGTTTCCTCTGTAGCTTGTACATTCTCGAATGAGACAATTGCTTGTCTTGGTACATCCGAAGGTTCGGAACAAACAAGACTAAAGCAAAAATAAGATTCGATTGAATCAATAATCAATTCTAGCATTTTAGATACTGGAAATTTGGTTAACATTTGTCGAAAAATTTTCAATTTATTAAGAGAAAAACAATTAAATTCAAAGTCATATGTCAATATTGATTAGATGCACGGAAATAATATCAGTTTAATAAATTCAATAATCAAGATTAGTTGCAAACAAGCAATACAATTTTGAATAAATGGGTTAAAAATTTCATAAATTTGGGATCAAACCATACCTGTCGCAAATATAATCTTAACTTTCATCAACTCATAGGAGCTAGAAGATGATATTAATATTAATTATTGAATACAAAAGAATCTTCGGAGTTATCAAAAGTTAATTCGTAAATCTCATATCGAATCCCACAATTGTTATCCCTGAGTCGTGCTCCTTTAGCGTTTTCACATTCTGTCCAAATATTATCAACAAGATCGCGAATACAAGATTTACAACTATCGTGGCTCAGTCCATTCCAACACTTACCGATAGCCCAAGCGCTATCACCACCGATATTTGAATGTTCTAGAGTCTTAATTCCATTCAAAGGAATATTTGTCATGACTTTGTGAAGAGCTTCACCAACGGCGTCAGACGATGTACCGGAGGGCAATTTTGCTGGACTACAGCGTTTCTTTTTTCCACTTCTTTTTCTTCTGATCATTGGGTCCATTTTTCTATTAGATTCAGCTCTAATCGATCCACCTGAACTTATGGAGGTCCAAGTGTCTTCTAGAACTTTAGTTGATATTAGTAAACATAAAAATATAATGAAACTAAAATTCATTTTCTTCAATAAAAATTAATTCAGTAATTGACCAAAAAATAGATTTAAGTTATCAATTAACTGAACCAACTGATTAAAACTTACCAGCAGATACAAAGTAACCAAAGTTCATCGTTGCAAGCAAAACAATCACTGCGAGGATAAAGGTTGGATTGAAAACTTTTGCCATAGTGAAAATTGAGACTTTATTTAAAAACGGAAAAAAACTTTACCAACTTTAATTAAATTTTTTTTAACAAAGTAAATCAGTTATTCAAATGATTACTGATGACAATCAAAACTAATGGTTTAATCAGAACTGATTTGAGCTTAAATAGCTTCCTCGAAACTTGCTTGACTTGAAGTGTCTCAATCAATGGACATACAAGTTGATATTATAATAATAATAGTGGTGATGTCGATATCTTAGCTAATTAACTAATTATACATTCATTTATTTAAAAAGTTTCTAATTTTCTGTAATAAATTTTACTTGTCTTTTCAGCTAATTACCATCTCGAAACTGAATTATTAATCAGAAACGCTAACGTTTATTAGTAAACAAGTTGAATTGTCCAAGATCAAAACTATTAACATTGTTAGTTTGTAAATTTTCGTTGACAATAATAATTAATTAATTTGTTTCTTGCCCCACAAGAGATTGTCATTGATTATTATGCTAATTAAGTTACTCTGTTAATATTTTCAAGGCTTATATTGATCTTGAAGCTTATTATCTAACCTCTCTAATTATACTAAATTTATTAATCAAAAATCTAAAGTTTTCTAACAATCAAGCCAAATGTAAGCTCGAAATTTTGGCCATTACTTAGTTGTTTACCTAATATAATCTTGACACAAGTTCGACTTGAACAATTTTCAGCTATGGAAAAATGTCGCATATTGATTGTTCGATGGTTAATAGGATTGATTTTTAAACCGATTGATTCATTTTGAGTGAAAATTATATCAGACGTTTCAAGTTAATTCTGAAGCTTCAAATCTAACTGAGCATTCATGACAATTCTCATGATTGCTCACTGCTGCCATCTAAAGATGAAATTAGATAATCTGAAGCAAAAAATCCTCGATAGCTGAGTGATAATTATTAAGAACGAAAACTTTTTTACTTTTTATGGAAAATTTTGATGAATACAATCAAGAAAAATTAAGTTATCAGATTGAAGCTTAAGGGTTACTCTTAGACACATTGTTGCCAAGAACAACTTGACCCCTAATTTTAATTACAATTAGAATTGAAAAAATTGGACGAAACGCAATCGGTGGTAAGTTCCGAAAAGTCATCGCTAAAACAGTCAAATAGAAAGACAAAGTTTCTAAACCAAATAAAACTTATCATTTAAATAGAAACTTTATTATTATTTGATTGAAAAATTTGGCTCATTAATTAAAGAAAGGGAGTTACAGGGATGCCCTATGGGTATGCCCTATGGGTAGTGTATGAAAGTAAATTCGCATATTTTTCTAATTGAAAAAAAAAAATCTCAAAATCTTTTTTGGTCCTCTTGTAACAAGCTTTTACTTTCATACACTTCCCATAGGGCATCCCTGTAATTACATCACAAACGGTAACTCACGAGATATTGTAATCAAGATTATCCTAAGGACTCATCTTTGATGTTCAATTATAAATAAAATAAATATTATAATACATTACAGAGATTACTGGGATAGACAATTGGTCCCAGTTAAAGCGATTATTTTTATTGTTTGAAGTTTTCAAGTGGAGTTAAAATTGACAACTATCAAACTATCAGATGTAGATAATGAATGGATTGATGTCAAATTAGTTTTGTCTCTTTAACTTATCACGCTCTTTGCACCGGGATTCGCCTTGGTGATAAATAACGAATTGGAAGGTTAAGAGATTTTGATTGTTGACTTTTTTTCGACCAACTTAAAGATAATTTTGAATCAAGTGATCGTTTTTGTGGTAAGTCTTTAATTTTTCTTCGAGATTTGTAACACTTTGAACATGTAACACACGAATGGAAATGATAAACTAAAAATTTAGATACTTTTGGAATATGGATCAGAATTGAGAAACCAAACCAAGTACCGAGCACGGAACCAATTTGGACGAAAAGATCGATCCAAGTCATTTTCGGTGTATAAGCAATAATAATTGACGGTTCTTTGGTTTGGTCCATAACTAGTGTACTAAAGTTTCCACTTATTGAGACTAGAGAACGACCTTGAGTAAATATCGCAGTTCGTGAGCAATCAGATTGAGCATTAAGACGAAAACAGTCATCGACAATTGAATTCGTGAGTCGTCAATAAGTAACATTTCCATTCGATCAAAAGCTCAACAATTAATAAAATAATCACGATTGACAATTTATTATGACTTTATGAAAGCCTTTTCTGTCTTGTTCTTTTTCTTATCAACTTTTCAGATGATTTGTTCGCCCTTCCGAATGATCATGGGTCACTTTGTATCAACTCATTAGAATTTCTTATGCATGGATCAGCTAAAAACGACAAGTGAACCACAAAGTGCCATTAAAAGCGCGTTTGTCTAGCGATTTCCAAGTAAAGTAAAGGGGAATCACATTTCCTTCAATTACTTTCACTCATAATACCAATTAAGGTTTTCTAATGATAACTAATTGTGATTAATTAGAAAAACAATTATAAAATCTCGTGAGAAATGTTAACCTTACATGGTAGTTTGATTGATCAAGATAAATCAGTGAATAGGAAGTTAATTAGCTATTATAAAATAAGCAGCGGAAGATTGGATAATCTGAGTCATTATTATTATATAAAAAATTAACTAAATCAGATGATCTTTATGATTAACTGTATTAGTTTGCACTTTAATCATTAATTTAATTATTGTCTAGATGATTAATTGTTTGCTATTCAAATTACATATCAGATCAACTGATATCGCTAATTAAATTGTTCAATCAAACTCAAAATTAGGATAAAGATGATAATGAAGACCTTATGATCAGAGGATTAAAAGATGATTAATCTAAAAAATCAAATCATGAGGATTATCTGCTTGTTAGTTATCAATTTGATCAACTTGTACAATAATTAAATGAGTTTCTTGACTTTTCATTTCTTAATCCAGTCAATTGAATGATAAAAGAGTTAATTTATCGGTTGTTGATTAAATTGAGAAAATATCGATGGTTTCATGTTGAAAATTTGTATTAATTTATTAACCTCAAATTGGATATTGATTGATAATTGGATAGAACAATTAATTTGTGTCTATTACAAAATAGGAATATGATCTGAATAGCAGATATCGAACCAAGGTCGATCAGAGTAATACAATTATTAAACTAGTGGCAAAATCGGTTGAACATTTTAACGCCTTTGAACGGAAAATTAAATCGTTGAATATATTGATTTTAATAACTTGGCTTTGGCCTTCGCACTAGCATTCACATCATTAATACAAAGTATCGACATTCATAATAACATTATAATAATCATTCAACTGATGTCTCCACAATCAATTTCTTACAACGGCTAGGCGGCTTGACTTTTATATTTTGTACTTCGACCTGCTCTCCTGATTCCTTGGGCACTAAAAATTAACGTACCAATCAGGTATAAATTTGGTAAATGGCTCATCTAATTGTTGACAAACAATTGGATTTCCATGAGAATGGTTGAAACGATAAACTATATTAGACTCGATTATCTGAGTCTTGATGAAATCCATCGTTGATAGAAGACAATCAACCATTGTCTTTGGACTCCAGCCCTTTCGATGCGACGGCATTTTATCTGTGTATTCCCATTGTACTTTTGTGAGGTTAACCTTGAAATCTTCATCTCGTTGACCTACAACAGTAAAATTAGTATTAGAGAGTATGGACCGAGCCCATAGACCAACAAGCCTCGAGTGCCAGGCCCTAGAAGCATATCGAGTTTTTATCTCGACGAATTCCATGTCATTTATGGCGGCATCTAATTGACTTTTGTTTTTAGCGCAACAATAGCGCGAGTTGTATAAAATATTATGTTGACCTACCTTGGTCACTAAAACGCCATGGAAAGAGTCACGAAGTCCACCGTAGTAGGTTGAACATTTCTTTCCATCGAAACGTCGAGTGACCAACGATTCAAATTTATATCCTGCATAAGACGAAGCATTTTGAGTGTCCGTTTGACGAGCAATTGAATTTTTTCTCATCGTCGTGTCCACTTCATGAAGAATAATTTTGTCACCGATCTTGACACCAATAATGTCCCAATCGTTCCACTTATCATAAGGTGAACTCATAATCGTTGTTAAGGAACGAATATCGGTGATAAAATCTGGCTCGAAATTAGAAAGAGTCTCGTCCAAAATAAAATCGATTTTATTGTCCATATACCAGCGAAGAATATGAAGATCGCTTGGACATCGAGACCAAACAGTTTTAGGGTCGAAATTTTGCAACAAGTTCAACTCCTTTGGGCCTCTTGTTAAAAGGCTCAAGTATCGTAATTGTGATTTATCAGGTAGGTAAATCTCCTTGTTCAATTTTCTATCGATTCTCAGAGAAAAATAACCAATTCTTTGAGGTTTCATCAAACAAGTAGATCGCGAGTAAGTTTTATCAAGGTCAATATTCAACCGTCCGATTATTGGCACATCAGCGTATGGGTTTAATGTCGGAGTTGGTCTAGTTTCCTCTGTAGCTTGTACATTCTCGAATGAGACAATTGCTTGTCTTGGTACATCCGAAGGTTCGGAACAAACAAGACTAAAGCAAAAATAAGATTCGATTGAATCAACAATCAATTGAGATGATTCACCATCGTTCCAACCAAAAGGCAATGAAACTCGATGATAAAGTTCAGTAGTTATCGGAGGTAAGTCCAGAATAGTCATAGCTGAAAACAATCAAATAAAAAGACAAACAAAAGACAAACAAAAACTTAAATAGAAACTTTAATCTGATGTATGAACTTGAACAGTTAACTGATGACTGATTAAAAAAAGTTACGCTCACTAATTAAAGAAAGGGAGTTAATTACATCACAACAACTCACGAGTTACAGTGAACGAGATTATTACGATGACTCACGTGATGTTGCATTATTAATAAATCAGATGCACTAATCAGTAGATGAACAATTAAATCAAATGAGATTTAAACAGATACAAATTAATCGGGATACTTTTATGTTGGCTGGGTTTGAATACCAACAAGGATTAGACTATTTAAAAAGCACCAATGACTTAAGATCCCAGACAAAAGGTTCCAGTTAAAGGGATTAATTTTAGTTTTGGAAAGTTTTAAACCTTTAAATTGGGATTAAAATTGGCAATTAGTAGAAATAAATGATGAGGATTATTATCAATGATGTAAAACATAATTAAGATACTAAATTGATTAGCAATGAAAATACAAAGAAACAAAAAGAAGGCAAATTTACAGTTATCATTGCATCATTTTCTTGCTCAGAGTCAGAACTTTCTGAGCATGAATCATGGGGAACCTTGAATTTCCCTGAATAATTTCCCGCTTCAAACCAAATTGTTTTCTCTTTGTAAAAATCAACCTGAGACTAAAACTCGATTGAGCGAAATTAATATTCAGTCAATTCAAGTTGGAAAATTTTCTATTATTCCTGCAAAAGGTTGAATACAAAAAATCACACGTGCATTGTTGACATTTTTTACCGCCCTTAGACTTTTGCTTTTACCTTTACAGGTAGTATTCACTTAACCTTGCATGTGTAGTCCGACGATCGAAAGTATTTGTCCAACTTTTTTCGGAACAAAACTTGGCATCAAGGTAATATTGTTGATCGATGAAAATTTGATGAAGACTTTATGATTATGAATTTCAAAATATCAAATCATGAAGATTATCTGCTTGTTAGTTATCAATTTGATTAACTTGCACAATAATTAAATGAGTTTCTTAACTTTTCATTTCTTAATCCAGTCAATTGAAGGATAAAAGAGTTAATTTATCGGTTGTTGATTAAATTGAGAAAATATCGATGGTTTCATATTGAAATTTGTATTAATTTATTGACCTCAAATTGGGTATTGGTTGATAACTGGACAGAGCAATTAAATTGCATCTGTTACAAAATAATAATATGATCTGAATAGCAGATATCAAACAAGGGTCGATCAGAGTGTTGTAAATACTAATGGTAAAATCTGATGATCATCTTCAAGCCTTAAGATCTCCTTCCATCAGCTGATCAATTTGAACTTGTCTGCGACTCTGCTGATACCTTCGGTACTAACAATCAACGTACCAATCAGGTATGAATTTAGTAAATGGCTCATCTAATTGTTGACAAACAATTGGATTTCCATGAGAATGGTTGAAACGATAAACAATATTAGACTCGATTATCTGAGACTTGATAAAATCCATCGTTGATAAAAGACATTCAACCATTGTCTTTGGGCTCCAGTGATTGCGAGCTGAAGGCATTTTATCTGTGTAATACCATTTCACTTTCGCAAGGTCAACCTTGAAATCCTCATCTCGTTGACCAACAATAGTAAAGTCAGTATTGGCGAGAATGGATCGAGCCCAAAGTCCAACAAGCCTCGAGTGCCAGGCCCTAGAACCATATTGAGTTTTTATCTCAACAAATTCCATGTCATTTAAGGCGGCATCTAATTGACTTTTGTTTTTAGCGCAACAATAGCGCGAGTTGTATAAAATATTATGTTGACCTACCTTGGTCACTAAAACGCCATGAAAAGAGTCACGAAGTCCACCGTAGTAGGTTGAACATTTCTTTCCATCGAAACGTCGAGTGACCAATGATTCAAATTTATATCCTGCATAAGAAGAAGCATTTTGAGTGTCCGTTTGACGAGCAATGTAATTTTTTCTCATCGTCGTGTCCACTTCATGAAGAATAATTTTGTCACCGATCTTGACACCAATAATGTCCCAATCGTTCCACTTATCATAAGGTGAACTCATAATCGTTGTTAAAGAACGGATATCGGTGATGAAATTTGGCTCCAAATTAGAAAGAGTTTCGTCCAAAATAAAATCGATTTTATTGTCCATATACCAACGAAGAATATGAAGGTCACTTGGACATCGAGACCAAACGGTTTTAGGGTCGAAATACTTCAACAAGTTCAAACGATTTGAGCCTCTTTTTAAAAGGCTCAAGTATCGTAATTGAGATTTATCGGGTAAGTAAATCTCCTTGTTCAATTCCTTGTCGATTCTTAAAGAGAAATATCCAATTCTTTTAGGTTTCATCAAGCAAGTTGACCGAGAAAAGGTTCTATCCAGATCAATGTTCAACCTTCCGGCTATTGGCACATCAGCATATGGATGCAAAGTCGGAGTTGGTCGAGTTTCCTCAGTAGATCGAACACGACTGGCTGAGATAATTCTTGGTCTAGGCCAATTCGAGGGTCCGGAACAAATGATACTTAAGCAAAAAAGGTTCATCAGAATCATTGCTATCAGACGAACTTTGGTCACTATCGAGAGGCGAAGAAATTGGTGAGGCCAGTCCATCCTCACGTCGATGATAAAGTTCACTTGTAATCGGAGGTAAATCCAGAATAGTCATCGCTGAAAACAATCAAATAAAAAACCAAAGAATCAAAATTAAATAAAACTTAACATTTAAATAGAGACTGAATGTCTGAACAGTTAACTGATGACTGATCAAAAAGTTGAGCTCACTAATTAAAGAAAGGGAGTTAATTACATCATAATAAACAGTAGCTCACGAGATACAGTGAACAAGATTATCAAAATGACTCACGTGATTTTCAATTAATAAATCATATGTACTAATCAGAAGATAAACAATTAAATTACACGTGTACTTACATAGAGAGGTAAAGACAAAAGAATCGGAAAGAAATAGACTTTCGATTCTTGATAATCACCAATATTCAGACAGAATCGAATTAAACTGATTTAAATCAAACTGACCAAAAATCTAATTGAATCAGTAGATGAACATGAGATGAGAAAAGGAGATTTAAACAGGTAATTCTTAATTGAAATTCAGAATTATTTAGAAACAATTAAGATACTAAATTGATTAGCAATGAAAATACAAAGAAACAAAAAGGAGGCAAATTTACAGTTATCTTTACATCATTTTCTTGCTCAGAGTCAGAACTTTCTGAGCATGAATCGTGGGGAACCTTGAATTTCCTGAATAATTTCCCGCTCCAAACCAAATTGATTTCTCTTTGTTAAAATCAACCTTTAAAGTAAACTAAACATCAATGTATCGATTCAAATCGATTTGCTTTAGCAATGACACAAAAAGGCTCGAATGAGATGAGCATCAACTTCAATTGTCCAATTCGCGGTCGTTTTTTTGAGCCTGAATATAGTTTTTCTAACGATCTTTTCGTCTTACCTTTAAATTCCAAAAGTACGATCCTCAGGTCCAAATGAACGTTCTATGTAAACGAACGGAGCAGCAGCTAAGGCCAAAAGTTTATCCTCTAAGGACTTTTTTGTTTCTCCGTAATTTTTTTCCTTCGTACTTTAATATTACAGAATAACTTATGAATAATAAAAACAAAATTATCCACTTACATTGATTCAAATTAAATAATCACTTCACAATTTTATAGTTATAGCTAATCACTTGAAACAAAATCTTGAAAAACTTTCATGATTAAACTCGAACCTCAGCACGTTCAAGTTGAAAATGAAGCAGAAAACTAAGAACCTGAGTTTATATTTAGATCGAAGCTTATACAAGGGTACATGTGCCCTTGACTGAGACCAAGGTTTTACTAACTCTAGAAACGGAGCGAAAGTCCTTTTAATCAGTCAACTTGCTATTGACCATGAAAGTAGCAGATACTTGCTAAAGTAGTGGATTTATTGTCTTAAACCCTCCAGGCTTTGCTTAATCTATTGTTAACTTTCACAGTGACAACCCAACCTAATTCAAATCTAATAAATTTCATTTTAATCCTCGATGCGTGAGAATTGCAGTTGAACTCAGATAAAGTTTTAAGGTAATGGTAATTGGTTTGGAATAGGGCTGAACACTGTAATTATCGATTTCTTTTGTTAGTCCAAGTAACGAGTAATAAAAAAGAGAGAGTGATTAACTTCAAAAAGAGCATTCTGAGTATAAAACTCGTATTATGACCTAATATCAGATAAGGTTTCGCTTATTTATGGTCGTTATTTGTATCGAAAAGTCCGCAGGGTTCACCAAGTAAGATAATCTAATAACTATCATATAGTTGACGTGAGTTCAATCGTTAACAATTAAATAGCTGCGCCTCTCATTGTTGGTTTGTACTTACGAAAAATTCAAACGTAAATTTATTGATAACCAGAACTGAAAAATTAATAATTTTGATCATAAATAAGAATAAGTCAGGAATCAATAAATATTACAATTAGATAAAAATCTAAGCACTTATTAAGCAGCTTAAAAATCATTTAGCTAAACAACCTAATAGATAATTAACTCAAATTAGAGTTAATTGTTCAAATAAAATCTATTTTACATCACATTAGAGACTTTTATCGGAGTGAATGTTGTAAGTTTATGTAATTATTAGATCAATGAGATGATCTTTTTTAATGAGAATATTTTTTTACATATATAAGGAACGATTGATGCAAATTATCTCGATAACTATCGAAATGAGTTCTACAAAAATCTTCAAATTTAGACTTACTAATTTCATCACCATTTAGACTTTAATCCCGATATTATTCAATGCTAATTTTCGGTAGGACGATCAAAAAGTTATTGTTAATGGTTACGATTAAGAGCATCATACGAATACTGGTTTTATTAGTATTAATAGTTACTATTTAGATCGATTTTATTGATATATCGGTATTTTAATGCAAATAATGGTTGATTAATCCATTTTTCTGGTTTATATTAGTTCATTTTTTAATTAAAATGAGACTAAATTAAGAGTGTAAAGGTAGGATTTTTTGTCCATATAAAATGCATCATGTCCTCGAACCAACAGTTTCACGAAAAGCTTGAACAACTCGAATCTATGATTAGAAAATAGTCGAAATTAAAATTGAATCTTCTTATTTCAATGATATCATTTGCTTTTACCTGAGTTCTGATTCTTGAATATCCTCTAATCCAAAGGATTTTTCCTGATGGACCATTACCTTTGGAATAATCTGATTGATACTTAAGCAGGTCTATTTGAGGAGGCGTTGAACCAACAGTAAACTTTTTCGAGTGTGTTTTCGGGATCGTTATTAAAATTTGATGCCAAATTAAGGCTGATAGTCCGAAAAATATTGACCAAATCCATTGGTCAAGCGTTAAAGGTACCACTTTAAATGCGATACCACCAAAGTTGATGATCAAGATCTGAAAAAAAGAGATAATCAATCTACAATACTTTCAATTCAATCCAACTCGAACAAGGAGATCAAGTTGTTGTTGAAAATAATAAGTTAATGAACCAAAATCAACCAATCTCTTTGTAGATTAATCATTGAATCATTTGCTATTAAGGAAAGTCTGGAAGATTAAGATTCCAGTATATTAATATTTACCTGAGTAATGAAAGTTCCGATTATAACTGATATGTAAATTTTGTTTGATAAAATAGATTCAAAAACGTTTCTTTCGTCATTAATTTTTCGAGCATTAATCTCGTTGCTGAGGGACATTAAAACCAATACGTTAAAAATAATAGTATAATGCTGAGTTGGTGGTGAGTTCAATGGCAAACGCATCCCCGAGTCGATATCGAAAAAAGTTGGACCTAAAACAAACGAAAATAACAAATTACTTCAGAATGGGCACAGGACAAAGATAATTCAACGGTAATCATTTGGTAATTTCTTCCAAATTCAAAAGAAATCAATAGCAAATCTATTGGAAATTGATACGAAAAATGAGCATTTTTACCATAAAATAACAGAGACAAAATTATGAAAGTTTGATAAAGAGCTTGTCCTAGAATGTTTCGAGCCATTCGTCGGGATATGATTGGTTTATTACGACCATAGGGTTTTCGAAGTAGCAGTTCTGGTGTTGGTTGTTCAGTAGCCAGTGCAAGACCTGCGAAAGTGTCCATTGCCAGATTGATCCAGAGCATTTGAACGGCTTGAAGAGGAGAATCCTGATAAAGGAAAGGAAAATGTTTTCATATCAAGATCTGAGTTAAATTCATGGAAATTAGGTAATTACTTCAACAGCACAAGCGCCAATGAACGCAACTAAACAGGCGATTATATTAATGGTCAATTGGAATTGTATAAACTTTGAAATGTTATCGTAAACATTTCGGCCCCAGGAAACAGCGGCAACAATTGAGGTGAAATTATCGTCAGTCAAAATAATATCAGAGGCTTCTTTAGCTACATCAGTTCCCGATATTCCCATAGCAAAACCGACATCCGCTTTTTTCAACGCGGGTCCATCATTTGTACCATCACCAGTGACCGCAACTATTTGACGAGTAGTATTGTGTAATTTTGATTCAATCATATGTTTAACCAAAATGTATTTATCCGACGGACTTGATCTTGCGAGAACTCGTAAATTAGGCCAAACAGTATCAAATAGCTTTTGGTCAACTTTACCGCTCGAATCACGAATAAGAGAGTTAAATTTTTTACCATCGAGAACAAGGAAATTCTCATTCGGTGTTATTATGCCACATTTAGTCGCTATCGAACGCGCTGTGTTGGGATTATCTCCTGTTACCATGCGAACTACAATTCCGGCCTTTTTACAGTTTCTGATTGCAGATGGAACTTCATCTCGAATAGGATCTTCGAGTCCAGTCATACAGATCATCGTTAAGCCTGAAAGTATAGTTTCTTCACTGTCCCAATCTGGTTCCTTGGTTATTTCAATTTCGTTGTCTCCTTTTGCCTTCCCATACACGTAGTCTTTGTAAGCGACTGTTATGGTTCGCAGGCCATTAAGTGCCATTGGCTCGATAATATCGACAATGAAACGAGACTTTTCCGACTGAGAAAAAGTTCTGATTGAGCCTGAGCTATCGAAAATGTAATCACATCTTTCTGTTATGATTTCACTTGCACCTTTGACATGAACTCGAAAACCTCGTTCGGTTTTAATTACTGTGCTCATTGATTTTCGTTTAGAATTAAAAGTGTAAACTTTGTACAAAGATTCTTCTGGAATTTGATTTCGAATATCTTGATAATCAGCACCAAGATTGAGAACTAAACCAAGTAGTCCACATTCGGTCTTATTCCCGACCTGACGTGCTAATGCTCCAGGTTTTTCAGGAGGCTTTGAGGAGAAGAGAAAAGTTCAAATAAAATGATCGAAAACTCAACGCAATTCTGGTCCTATTCTTACCAAGATTTTCGAAGTGTAACCTGAATTGACTGATATACTTTCGACTATTAGTTTACCGACTTCATGAGGAAGGTCATCAATTCGAGGTATTTGGTGCCAAAGTTTTTCACAGATAAAAGCGGTGACCACCGTCATCCGGTTCGTTGTTAAAGTTCCAGTTTTATCTGAACAAATTGTCGTCGCATTTCCCATAGTCTCACAGGCATCCAAATGTCGCACTAAATTATTTACAAACATCATTTTCTAAGCAAAAATAAAATGAATATCAGATAAAAAAGTTGAGAAAATGATTTTTGTTAGTATTACCTTAACAGAATAGGCTAGCGCTAAAGTGACCGCTAAGGGTAAACCTTCTGGGACAGCAACAACTAAGACCGTTATTCCGACCATAACAAACTTGACAATATATTGTAAATCTGTTGCAAATGACCAACTCCTGTTACCGATTGCAAACTCACTGATACAATATCGGACAATTAAGATAATCACCGTTACCGTAGCCATGGCAGAGCCTTAATTAAGAGTAAGTTAATTAGAAAAAATTTCATCTTCTAAAATCAACTTACCGATGTAAGTGATCTGAATGGCCAAACGAGTGATTTTCGCTTGTAATATTGACTTATTTGAACTTTTTTCTTCGGCCATTTCATTTTCTTCATCGTTAACATGATCGGCAGGCACTTCATTTGATTCTAAAATTAACCATAATTGGTATATTTTAATTTAGGCTCTATTATTAATTCATATGTATTGTTACCTTCATTCTGTTTTTTTATTAATTTTTGTCTTTTTGCTGCTCCCAGTAGACTCATGATTATACCAGTTTGGGAATTGATTCCCACCGC